AACAAGACAGACCAAAACCAAACGACAAAAGAAAACAAAATAACAGCAAGCCAATGACAAAATACAAAACAAGACAACAACAAAGAAAAGCTTGTAGTTAGTTCAAGGATTCTTTGTTGGCCTTTAGGAATGTTTTCCAGTTGAGTCTGATGGGGTACCAAGCCCTGACCCCAAAGTCTATTTTTGGTGTTCCCTGGGTACATCGTTGCTTTGTTCCCCTTGCTGTTCTGTTACACCCCTTAGTGTTTTGCCTCTGGGGTTCAGATCGGGCATAGTTCCCACACTGTGTCTCCAGTTTGTCCCCTGTAGGGCTATGGGTCAGTGAGCGATGTCGTGTCTCGTGTCTCATAGTGGGGCTGACCATATGGTCTTCACTTCTTCATCTTCTTAAGGAAGTTAATTTTGCCTTTTCTTGCTTTTTAGTATTATTTTTATGAGTATGGCTTTGATGAGCTAAGACGAAGACCAAGACATGTGTGTCCATATGCAGTTGTGTCTTTCAATTACAAAGATGATATTCAAACTCCCAAGTTTATCTCTTCATCACGGTAAGATTTATCTAAGTTCTAGACATCATCCAGATTGGTTTTATGGTATATATTGTACCCTGCTGAGGAATACTTCTTTAAATTAAAAAATGCAAAAATTTGCATTGATTGATTGCATTTACTATTTGAATGCTCAATAATAATTTTTAAAAGGTCAATGTGCAGAATAAATACTTTGACAGCATGAGAATACAAACTAACATTTCTTAAACCTTATTTGGTTAGTCTCTTGTTATCAAGGTTTTGTGTAGTTTGGTAGAATTTTCAGAAGTGAAATTTTGTGAGTTAGCTTTGCTGAAGAGGAAGAGCTTTTAAAGATGCGTAGGCTCCACCTCAATTAGATATTTGGATGGGAGCCTAGACACAAGTAGTTTTTAAAAGCTTCGAAGTGATCTTAATTTTCTGCCAGTATTGTGGATCATCGCTAGATTTCTTAGCGCTGTAAACTTAAAGTGACCCAAATACAAAGCAGTTCCCTTTCCTTTTTACCATATGGTAATTCCAGAAGTTTGGCCTTATCCATTTTCTAGATAACACCATCTTCTATTTAAATTGTTTGAAAAACAGAACTTTTTTTCCCCCATGTCAATCAGTAGCATTGGAAACCATCCACAGCTACAAGTGCCAGTTCACATAATATCAAGACTGATTTTCCTTTTTCCATGGTTATATTTATTGTGATTCCTTTCATTAGCATTTTTGGTCATTTTTTTAATGGTCATTTTCTAAAGTGAACTTTAAAAGATGATTGACATTTATAACCATGAGACTATACCTGACTCTTAAAACTATGAGACTATATCTCCAGGAATAAGGACTCTTGTTATTTTTCTTCTCTTTGATTCCATCTATGAACCTCTCTGCCATTCAAAACAAGCATTGATTGTACATTATTGCTCTACCTTGAATGTGTCCAGAGGTGGTCTATCTCAGGGCCTCTCTATTTGTTGTTCCATTCACTTTCCCCAGCTTTCTACATAATTCACACCCACACTTCCATCAGATCTTCATTAAGTTCACTCCTGTCAATGACAGCTTCCCCAATCTTTTTTTTAAAGCCTCTTTCCCCTTATAGCTCTTTTGTTTTTTTCCTTCCCCATGGCATATATAGCCTCACGGTCTGGTGGACTTTTATTTACTTTTTGATGGTTGTCTCATTAGAGTGTAAGCTCCAGAAAGGCAAGTACTTTGTTCTCTTCATCTATTTACTCTTGTTACCTAGCACTGTGCCTGGTATATAAGAGCTTAGTAAACATTCACTGAGTGTAAGAATAAATATACTTAAATAGATAGTGAGGCTGTTTCCTTGAATCTCACCACTAAAATAATGAAATTGCCAGCGATATTAGAGATTTCTGATGAATATTTTGGAATGAGGAAGGTAGGGCAAGCTTCCTTAAAATTTGGCAATGTTAACATAGCACTTATATTTTGTTCTGAGTGTTCATTTTGATGTTACTTAGTAATGGTTCTCTTTTCAAAATTTATTTGTAGATCTAATAGCTTTAATGCAGATAGAAATACAGGTACGTTTTTAATATATTTTTCTTTCAATTTTGTAAATGGAAATAGTAAGTACATATAGTAAAACATTAAGTAAATGCTTTGTTGGTTTTGATAAGAAAATTTGGGAAAAAGATCTTGAGGCCATCAATGTTTTGTAGTCTAAGATAAGATTTCCTTTGAGAGGCTGCTGCTACTTAACTAAACTAGAGTTTTAAAACATTAATTGAAAAATAAAAAATAAAGCTTCACAGTTCAGCCTTTTAAAAATTAACTTTATCAGAGAGGTTTAGGCATTAGATAAGTAGAGAAGATTAAATGCAATATTGACATTTATTGTCGTCAAGTTTCTCTATCATGAAAAGACAGCTATTAGATGTACGACATAGTGAGCATATACTTAGTTAACCAGAGTTAATAAAATTATTGAAAAATAAAAGGAACAGTAGTTGTCTTTTTACTTAGTCTTAGTCTTCTGATAAGAGGAAATTTAGGCAGATAGATTTGTTCTTTGCAGCTGGAATGGTTTTCTATTTTTCTTTACTTAAACCTTGTTTTTGCATGTCTTATTTCTAGTGAACTTGTATTTATCTGTCTTGGCTGCCATGATACTTATTTTTTATTTTTCCAGATAAATTTAACTATACCTTGTGGAAAGGACAACTTTTAAACAAAGGGAAGCTTTTGTGTTATATTTCTCTAAGGTCAGCTACCCGTGCTTTTCTGCCTATCAAGTTGTAAGTATGTTACATGATAAGAAAATAACAGTTGGGGATTGGTTATCTTCTCAATTTATTTAGCTTTCCCACCACCTACTTTTTTATATTTTGTCTACAACATGAGAACGTATATGTAACTGTTTCCTGGTTATAGAGGTTGATTTGATTACATTAAAAACTTTATTGGGAAGATGAGCCTTCTATTTTCTCTGTGCCAAATCAACAGTCAAAACCAAACTCATTGTTTCCGAGTTGATTTCAACGCGGTGACCTTTTAGGACAGAGTAGAAGTGCCCTGTAGGATTTTCAAAGCTGTAATCGTTAGGAAACAGGCAGTTATATCTTCTACAGAGCAGTTGGCAGATAAAAACTGCTGACTTGAAGTTGCACTTTTTTTTTTTTTAAACATTTTATTAGGGTCTCATACAACTGTTATTCCAATCCATACACACATCAATTGTGTAAAGCGTATTTGTACATCATTTCTCAAAACATTTTCTCTCCATTTAAACCCCCGACATTAGGGCCTCATTTGAAGTTGCACTTTAACCACTAGCCACCGAGGCTTCTTTTTTTGTAGGATTTGAATAGTTATTCATAACTTTTACAAGACAAATTTTTTTCATATCTTAAAAATAACTTTTTGCTGTATTATCCTAGCTGAACTTTATTATTATTATTAATTTCATATAGAACTTTGACAATGTCATGTTTAAAAGTTAATCTTTTATTGAAAGAGCTTTGATGTAGTATGTTGTTAAACAGTATTTCAGTCCCGTGCAACACATGTTAAAATAATAATAATGTCCTTAGCTGACAAATAGATGTGCCTAGGTTTTCAGAAGCTGTAAGTATGTGCAGAACCAAACTGCTACATCGTTCTAATGTGAGCAGCTGGTGTATTTGAAAGGTCCAGGCCCACCTTTTGTTTAACAGGTGAGCATTTAACCACTATTCCATCAAGGCTCCTCTGTTGTGGTAGCACTATAAACATTGAGCTGATTCTGACTTAGCTACCCTATATGAGGTTTTCAAGACTATGAATCCCTATAGGAGCACACAGCTTTATCTTTGTCTTTCAGAGTTCATGGGTTTGAACTGCTTACCTTATAGTTAACATACCAAAGCTTAACCCCCCTCAGCTTCTTGATGTTGTAATAAATACCCCACTGCCATTGAATCAGTTCTTAACTCCTAGCGACCTTATAGGACAGAGTAGGTTTCTGAGACTGTATATCTTTATGGGAACAGTCAGTTCCCATCTTTCTTTTATTTATTTATTTATTTATTTTTTCCCCCATCTTTCTTCCATATGTTGCAATACCAAAAAACCTGCTACTGAGTCAATTCCAATAGAGTAGAACTGCTTCCTAGGGTTTCTGAGGTAAATCTTTATGGGCAGCTGGATGCGTAACCCATGGTGCTACTAGGGCTCTTTTATGTTATAGTAGGAGTGTGTAAAATCTTTTGCTTCCAGCAGTAAACATTAGAATCCATCCTATGTGTTTGAAAAAAGACCTAGTGGCACAGATAATGGCAGCTAACTAAAAGGTAAACTGCTTAAATTCACCAGGAGCTCTAAGGGAGAAAGTTGTGGTTACCTGCTTTTGTAAAGATCGCAGCCTTAGAAACGGCTGTTTCTGAGTTGGAATTGACTCTACAGCAATGGGGTTTTTTTTGGCTTAGTAGTTGAAGATTATTTTAACAATTCATAATTAAATTTGTCTTCAATAATATTACCATCCATGTTTTCAGTAAAACAACTTTTATGGTTAGTAAAATTGGCATATAAGAATACCTTTTGGCCTAAAGATGAAAAGTTGGTAACATTGCCAGGCTATCTAAATGTAGCTGGATTTTGCATATTGAATCCTAGTTAGAGTGAGAAAGGCAATGAGTAAATATGCCCTTCTGTTTTTCACGAAGTAAATGTTTTTGTGATAATATTCCTTATATGGAAAATAACAGCTGAGGCACAAACATCCTTTCTCTCTCTCTCTCTGTTTTTCAGGCCTGAGAAATTAGATGTTGAAACAGTTATGAGTATTGATCATCTGAAACAGAAAATCCCTCCATCACTCTTTTATAAGGATATATATGTAGGCCCAAATGAAGGTCAAGTAATTTAATTTCGCTAAAATATTTAAGAACAGTCTCAATTTCTTCAGTATTTACTATGTATTTTCTCTTGTGGCAGTTTTGAAAAATGGCATGTATTGCAGCCTTTATGAAGTTGTAGAGAAGACAAGAGTTGGAAGTAACATGGAGAGTTTACTGCTAAAACTAGAGAAAGAAAAACTTGTAAGTGAAAAGGTTTAAAAAATGTTCCTTATTCTCCTTTAGGAGAATGCATATTAATAAGTGATCATGCTAATGTATTTTACTAATGTGTTTTACTTTAGTTTCTTAAAGCACCACAAGTTATTACTTATTTATTTTTAAATAATTGGGGGCTCATACAGCTCTTATCACAGTACATACATGTGTCCATTGTGTCAAGCACATTTGTACCTTTGTTGCCATCATCATTTTCAAAACATTTTCTTTCTACTTGAGCCCTTGGTATCAGCTCCTCATTTTCCCCCTCCCTCCCTCCCTCTCCCTCCCATACCTTGATAATTTATAAATTATTTTTTCATGTCTTAGACTGACCAATATCTCCCTTCACCCACTTTTCTGTTGTCCATCCTCTAGGGAGGGGATTATATGTAGATCATTGCGATCGGTTCCCACTTTCTCCCACCACCTTCCCCTTCCGGTATCACTACTCTCATTATTGGTCCTGAGGGGTTTATTTGTCCTGGATTCCCTGTGTTTCCACCTCTTATCTGTGCCTGTGTACATGCTGTGGTCTAGCCGGATATGTAAGGTAGAATTGGGATCATGATAGTTGGGGGAGTGGGGGGTGGCATAAAAGAACTAGAGGAAAGTTGTTTCATCAGTGCTGTGCTGCACCCTGACTGGCTCTTCTCTTACTTATGACCATTCTGTAAGAGGATGCCCAAGTGTCTACAAGTGGGCTTTGGGTCTCCACTCTGCACTCCTTCTCTTTCACATTAATGATTTTTTGTTCTGGGTCTTTGATGCCTGATACCCGATCCCATCGACACCTCATGATCACACAGGCTGATGTGCTTCTTCCATGTGGACTTTGTTGCTTCTCAGCTAGATGGCCGCTTATTTGTTTTCAAGCTTTTAAGACCCCATATGCTATATCTTTTGATTGCCAGGCACCATCAGCTTTCTTCACCACATTTGCTATGCACCCATTTTGTCTTCATTGATTGTGTCGGGAAGTGAGCATCGTGGAATGCCAGGTTATTAGAATTAAAGTGTTCTTGCGTTGAGGGAGTACTTGAATACGGGCCCACTGTCCGTTTGCTACCTTGATACTTAACATATAAATATATTTACATAGATCTATTTCCCTATTATTTATAAATATATTTTTATATGTACATGTTTCTATTTAGACCTTTATAAGTTCCCTTTGCCTCCTAGTTCTTTTCCTCAATTTCCTTTTACTTTCCTCATGTCCCACTATCATGTTTTGACTTTTGTTCGAGTTTCAGTAATTCCTCTCGATTACATTACCCTCGATCAAGCCGTCCAGGCCTCCTACACCTCTTGTTCCTGGGTTAACACCCACTTCCTTTCCCCTGCCTCCCCCTCTCCCCTAACCCCCCAGAATCCTTGGTCCCATTGTCCTGGATTGTTTATCCCACCTATCTTCTCTAGATAGACATACAGACACAACAATAGGCACAAAAATAAGAGCAAAACAACAAAAGAAAACGACGAAAACAAAAAACCAACGGCCAAAAAAAAAAAAAAGGAAGAGGAAAGCTTATAAATATTTCCAGGTCTGTCAGTTGACCTTTTAGGAGTGTTTTCCGGTGGAGTCTGATGGTGTGTCACACCCTGGACTCAAAGTCTATTTTTGGGATTCCCTAGGGACTTCATTGCCTTGCTCCCCTTCCTGCTCTCTTGCACGCCTTAGTGTTTCACCCAGGTGTGGTGGGGTCAGATTGGGCAAAATTCCCACACTGCCTCCAGTATTGTCCCTCAGCAGTGGGTCAGTGAGGGATAGCTTGTCTCGAGGAGGGGCTGGCCCTATGTTCCTCTCTATGCATTGGCTGTTCTGAGCAAGAATATCCTTCTAGGCTTGGTGAGCCAGGAAGTGTTCCACTCTCTCCTTCCCTCTTCATTTGCTGCTGGGTGCTCTGATCAGCTGTGCCCCTCTTCCTGAACTGTAGCTTCAGTGATGTCCTCTAGTGCATTCTGTGAGAGAAGGAGGTGTCCACATAGTTGGGATTGGGGCTGGCCCCGCAGACCTCTTTATTGGTATCCGGCTTCATGCTGGTATGTTGCATTCACGTCTTGGCTCACCGGGTTTCAGTCTGGCCTCTCTCTTCCTCTTCTATGGAGATAAAGACGACACCCTCCCCTTAGGTGGGTTAGTGCCCTGTTTCCCCTGCTACTCATGTCTTTTTTTTTTTTTTTTTTTTTCCCCCTTTCCCCACCTTTTTAGTTGGCTGCCATATGTGTCCCTGGATTGGGTCCCTGCCATAGTACCTGGACCTTACCCCAGGAATGTATAACTATAGTAGCTTTTCCCCTATGCCCCTTTTGCATTTTTAAGCTTACCTCAGTGGACTCATGTTGTACTTGGCACCACAAGTTTTTTTGCTGTTAATATTTAGTTAATGCCTTTACTGGGGTGTCTGATAACCCTTCCTTTTGGCATGAGACTGTCCCTGCAGACTAGTTTTCCCTGTGAGGAATCGCTATTGTACTTGCCGATTATGAATATGATATTATACAGTATTGATTCTATTTTTCTTATTCATGATAATAATTTCAGTAGTGAATGTGACAGACTGTTCTGGATTATACAGAATGATTACTGGATTTATTCAGATACATGTTCACTAAGTATGAAATACTTATATATTTACTTTTTTTTTCTGTAGACAACTTGTTCATGATATAAATATTCTCATTAAACAATTTAGGTCATGAGTTGAGAAAGTAGAATTTAATCTTTTTGAGTAAGTATGGCTATCTATTCAGTTTTCCAAATCTATGGGGTTCAGGACTTTTAGAGAGTATTGAGAGTTTGGATGGCTAGGTAGAAAATTAATAACCTGTTCAGTTTCTCCTAGTGAAATTTGGGAGGATACTGGCATTTATTCTTCACCTGAGCAAGTGTTAATTAAATTCAAGGAAGTCTAGGTTTTTCCCACAATCAAGAATATTGAGATCCTGGATCTTAAATGGCACTGGGATTCCACAAGGATAGACTTTTCAAATTTAATGAACCTAGTTATTTTGTGTAGCTACCCATTTTCTCGCAAACCTCATTGGGAATTATCCTATCTATTTTCTTCATAGTTAAAAGTAAAATGGTATAAAAATGTAGTTAATATTTACATTTTGATCCTATTATGCACATTCTATTTGAAAAAACAGAACTTTTAGTCTCTGGGAGTAAGAATGCTGTTTTGGCTAATGCTTCCAGTGCAGCTTGGATATCTCCCTTCAGTATTATTTGTTCTTGATAATAAGCTAATGGCTGAATGTCGACTCGTTCTTTTGGTACGTGCCTGTGATCTTTCTGTCTTCTTTTGGTGCTTCTGGCATTGCTTCAATATTTACACCTAAAATTTTTGACTATTGCAATTTAAAACTTGGATTTTTTCCCTTAGTTCTTTCAGTTTAAGATAAGCTGAGTGTGTTCTTATTTTTGGTTTTACATATTTCATTACAATAATTTACTTTTGTCTTCTCGAGCTGCCCTTTGAAATTTTGTTTAACTCTTTGACTTCTATTTTTTCATTTGTCGTAGCTATTCTATGATTAAGAACAAGTTTCAGAGTCTCTTGACATTCACTTTGACATTTTTTTTTTGTCTTTTTACTGACCCTTTGCTTTCTTCATGTATGATGTCCTTAATGTCATCCCACAGCTCATTAAGTCTTCTGAAATCATAGTCTGAAATATCTATAGTTGTTCGTTACCCTTCAGACCTGGAATTGAACTCACCCTTGTGGGTCAATTTTCAGCACAATTTTCAGTCTTTATCAGTGGAACAAAAATGCTAGCAAAATATGCACTCAAAATAAAATAATTTGAGACCAAAAAGGGCAGCAGTTGCCTAAGAACAAAATTCAGAAGGTAGGAAGGTTTAGGACGAAGGAGAAATGGAAATGGGAAACACAGAGAGGAAGTGGGATAAGTAATACTTCATTTGCGGCGGTTGCGATTAATGACATGAAGCAAAATGTTTCTGTATTAAATAGAAAACAGATTCACTTTGGAAATATTTCACCCAATTCACGTTAAAAAGTAAAAATAATCACTACAAAAGAACATGGCGAGGCAGGCATTCAAACCCACCAGCTACTACAAGGTAGATGCTGTAACATCTGCTTCCATAAAAGTTTACAGCTGTGGAATTCCTGTGGGGCAATAGTATGGCAATGAATGGGATATTTGTATTGCTATATATTAGAAACTATGAATAAGAACTGTTTCAAAAGCAAAAAAAAAAA